GCTCAGAGATGATGTCATCATATATACAGTATTTTACAACAAAGGCCCTGGCTTTAGTAACTCCAAGCAGCTAGGCTTTGCAGTCTGTCCCCAAAAGTCAATTAAAGAGACAAGGGACAGCAAAAGTAGAGAACAGATGTAATCAATAGGCACTGGGAAGACCAGATAAAGGAGTCTAGTGACCACCATACTCTTTTGGCTCTGATATGAGCACTAGGTTTAAGTAGAGGAAGAATCAGGACAAGAGGCATGCACAATCAGGCAGTCTTGGCTCATCACGGTTTCAGCCTGGGAGTCACAGGTGGACTGATGAGGAATGTTCCAGATAGATCTATGTCAACTTGACACACGCTAGAGCCATCTCGGAGGAGGGAGCTGCAATTGAGAAAATGTCCTCATAGCATCAGCCTGTAGACAAGCCTATAGGACATCTTAGTTGGTGTTCAATGGGGGAGGACCCAGCCCACTGTAGGTGGGGTGACCCCTGGGCTGGTGGTCCTGGGTTCTATAAGAAAGCAGACTAAGCAAGCCATGGGGAGCAAGCCAGTACGAAGCTCCTCTCCATGACTTCTGCATCAGCTCCTGCCCCCAGGTTCCTGCTCAGTTTGAGTTCCTAATTTGGCTTTCCTCAGTAGACTGTGACACAGGACATGTAAGCCAAATAAATCCTCTCCTCCCCATGTTGCTATTGGTCATGGTGTTTCACCACAGCAGTGGTAACCCTAACTAGGACAAGGAGTTATTAATCTGTTAATCATTGTCATCACACGAAGGGACCAATTTGGTTCTTGCAAATGATCTGCAAGGGTTCAGCGTCTCCACCATAGAGAATTGTTTTTATAAGACAATCTGTCCTGACTGGGAGGTCTTGTTGTTCTTGGAATCCAAGTCGCCTGCATGCTTAGGGTAGTGACTCTTCGTGCCTTTAGCCAAAGAGGGGGATGAAATAGCTTGGGTATCGTTGGGATTTGGATGAACAATATTTAACAGTTACCATGCCAGGTAGAGTTAAGCATCAGAGGAACCCATAGGAGTCAGGATTTCATCTTGCTGCTGATTACTTTGTAGGCCCAAGTGTTAGAAGTCAGTATATATGTACACACATACATATACACATACATATATACAAAAGCTTCTCCTATGTGCCTGTTTTAATTGGTCTCAGTTTCTCTCTCCTGACCTCTCAACTCTTCTTTGGTGGCTCACGTGGAGACTCTAGATATTCTCTCTTGATCTTTTCATTAGCTGTGTAACTCTAGGAATCCTCATTTCTAGGTTCTAGGCTTGTGAGAAAGATCCCATGTTTCAGCCAATGCTCGTTGGCTTTGATGGTCATGTGTCTATCCCAGTGCCTACAGGGCACCAGAGGTTTTTCTCGGGTCTGGAGCCAAGTCAGTCATGTCCGGATGACACAAGCTGGGTGGACAGGATGGCTCACCAGAGGAAGCTGGCAGCTCTTTCCTGAATCGGGGCATGGTGTGTGAAGTCAGTGGCAGAGAATGGGGCGCTGTGGGGATGGATTCTCTCTTGTGGACCTGGGAGCTTAGATTTGGTGCCATCCTGTGCTCTGGTCTGCAGGAGAGCGGATGTAGATCAGTTAGGTCAGTTAGATCTGCGGTAAATGATGACCTTTGTGCTTCTGGTTGGGACTATAATTATGCAGTGCTGATTTTTTTTTGCAGTTATCTTCAGATAGACGAGACTTCGTGCTGAAAAAGGAAGAGTACCTTTAGAGAAAGGAGCAGGTGTATTAAAGAACAGAAGTGCCTTAATGGCTTTGTTAGGGTTGCTATGGAAATGACTAAATGTGAATTTCAAGTTCTCTGAAGCTAGCCATCCATACAGCAATGAGGGGGTCTATAGGAAGGTTCATTTTCCTTCTTCTTGTTTTTAAAGATGGGATGGGAGGGAGGATTAGATTTTTAGGCATCTCAGTCTGGAGATCATTTTGGCTTGTGGATCTCAAATTAGAGTGAGAATTGTCTGGAAATGTTAAAACACGTAACTGTGCTGATCCCACAGCCTGGCTTAGGAGTCTAGACAAGGTCCACATATTTTTTTTCTCACATGTTCTCCAGGGATCTCATCAGGGTGCCGGATTCTGCAGGCAGGGTGGACCACACTTTTTAAAAACACTGACCCAGGCAACTTCCTTTCCCCTCAGCTTACGGAGGGGGGAAGATGGACACAGTGGAGTGAGGGGCTGTCTCAAGGTGTCTGTCAGCAGAGGAGGTGGGTACAGAACCAGCTCTCTGGCTGCCTCCCTGTCCTGTCTAGTGCCTCCCTCTTTGTCTTCATCTGCCTCTTCCTCCTTCCCTCCCTCCTTCTTCTTCCTGCAAAGAAACAGAGCTCCAGATCTGATGTTGCTCAGATCACAGGGCCGGGGCAGGGGAGAATCAACCTTTTGATACCCAGTCTGGTACTTTCTCTGCATCTCAAGCTGTGTGTTGGGGGAGCAGGTTCCAGGGACCTGTGGGGCTTTCCACCAGTGCCAGAGGACTGAGAATGCATGCTTTTCTATAATGCTAGAATGTATTGACTAGCAGGGTTTGGAGCTTTTGGTGATAGTAAACGCCTGCTTTCTTTGAAACTCTGCTTGAAGAAACAGGTTGATTCACACTAACTCAGATTACATTGTGTGTGTGTGTGTGTGTGTGTGTGCACGTGTGTGTGAAGTTATCGAATGACTGTGGAATGTAAAAGCGGTAAGGAGTTTCACAGAAGCCTGAGACGCCAAAGCTGGGGAGCTGGTGGGGATGAAAGTGTCTTTGTTGACAGTGGACTGCACTGGAGCTGGAGAAGCAGCCGCCACCGTGAGCCTGGTTGCTTAGGTCACAGGCCTGAGAGAAAAGCAGTAGATGGAGTGTCCCGCGCTACCGTCTCGCCAGCAAGAACGACGCGGCACACTTAGGATCCTTCTGCAGAACAGCTTTAATGCGTCTTGAGAGGGAGAGCATAAGTTTACAGAGCAGAGACCCGGGGAGCGAAAAGCCCAACCCTTATATAGCTCAGCAGTCCCCGCCTCGGACGTGTCATCTCCTGACTGGCTCCTGCTCGTCAGCCCATATGATGCCACGGGAGAGGCAGAGAGTAAGGGATGGAAAAGTAGCAGGCACGTGCGCACCAAGGTTGTTTACTCCAACTGACAACGGGTGTCAGCGCCATCTTGTAACGGAGAATGTGGGGGCGGCTCCCCACATCTCCCCCTTTTTGTTTTAATAGCAAACAGGCTCTCCCAGGACATTAGAGGGTAGAGACAGTGGTTGAACTTCCCAAAGAACAAAATTAGTGAGACGTGTACGAAACCTATCCCTAGATTCATCAAAATCCGGGATGCTTCCGACCTGTCCTCTGCCTTTTTCTGGGAAAAGGGAAAAAATACAGCAGGTAACCCTTATGCAGGACAACATGTCTCTCAGAGGAAAATATCTCTCTGTGCGATGCCTTTGCTCAACACCCCTCTTGGGAGGCCAGACTAAACACTCTACCCTGTGCAATGAACCTAAGTTCCGGGTGTGCAGGAGCTGTTCAGTCGGCAGCCTATTGCTTAAGCATAGTCAACCAGATATCGGTTGACGCCCCTTGCTCGAGCGCAGCCAGTGCTTGTGCTATGACCACCTTATCTCTTTTGTTTTGGGTTCTGAGCTTGCAGACCAGCCAGAGAATAAACACTATTCCGCAGCATAGGGCTGCTCCAAACAATCCCACCCCCACCCATTCTTTGAAATATAAAACAGCTGAAGAAATCCACGAAGACAATCTCTCCGTGAAGGACAGGTCAACTCAAATTCATAGGTCCAATTCATTGCAATTAGTGCCATCAATGTCAAGTTGTTCCTCTTTGTCACGGGAATATGTCTCGCCATCCTTTTGCTCCATAACGGTTCTGGTGAGTCGTTCTGGGACCCAAAAGGGATTTTCTTCATCCTGTGGAAAAACACAAACAGCTCCCCTGGATCTTATTAGAATAGGATCCGGGCCTTTCCATTCATTAGTTAGCACATCTTTCCATTTTACAAATTCTTTGGGTCTTTGCGGATCCGAGCAATGCCTTGTTGCTGCATTTTGACCCTTATCATCCAGATTTTTAAAAATTCATAGTAAACAATGCCATGGCAATAGCCACTCTTGGTGTTGGGGGCAACTCCTTCATAATTCCCCCTTTTTGTTTTATTAGGTAAGACTTAAGTGTGCGATGTGCTCGCTCCACGATGCCTTGTCCCTGAGGATTGTAGGGCAGGCCTGTAGTATGTGTGACTTGCATTTGTGCAAGCTTCCAGTTCCTGAAAAGGGTATAAGCCTTCTCCCCTTTTTTGTTTACCTTCTAATGTCCCTCTTGGGGACTGTAAGGGCTCCCCCTTATCCTTAGATTTACGGGGGGGTTATCTTTCTTAGTTACAACTGGTTTCTTTTTACGTGCACCTAACCTCTCACTACGCTTGGTTTCTGACATGCTAGACAGATTGAGAGGAGCCATGATAAAAATAAACACCTGCGGCTCGAATGAAACAAAAGTAACGACCGCATGCAGCTCTTTTATCTACAAGAGACTAAAGCACATAGTCAGGCACTGCCGCTTATCCTAACAATTGTAACGATGTAACAATTGTAACAGAGGCTCCAATCCAAAGTCCCAGAATAACATACCTCTCCGAGCGTAGCTACCTGCAGTTCTGAATCCTCCTTGAATCCAAGGGGTCTCCGATGGTGCTGACGATGATGAGGTCTGAGTTCCCGGGTTTCGGCACCAGATGTCCCGCGCTACCGTCTCGCCAGCAAGAATGACGCGGCACACTTAGGATCCTTCTGCAGAACAGCTTTAATGCGTCTTGAGAGGGAGAGCATAAGTTTACAGAGCAGAGACCCGGGGAGCGAAAAGCCCAACCCTTATATAGCTCAGCAGTCCCCGCCTCGGACGTGTCATCTCCTGACTGGCTCCTGCTCGTCAGCCCATATGATGCCACGGGAGAGGCAGAGAGTAAGGGATGGAAAAGTAGCAGGCACGTGCGCACCAAGGTTGTTTACTCCAACTGACAACGGGTGTCGGCGCCATCTTGTAACGGAGAATGTGGGGGCGGCTCCCCACAATGGAGTCCAGCGGCACAGGTGAACAGGCGGGGTTCAATGAGCGACAAGGGCATGGGAGGACTGCAGGTCTAGATGGGTGACCAGGAGGGTGGCAGATAGCAGGAGGGTAGGATGCATCAACAGTGGGGACTGAGCTGGGCTGAGTGTGTCAGTTTTTGACACTCAAGTAATGAGTTCCAGACAGGTTGGTGGGAGCATCACCCTAACAGTGCTGGGAGTTCACCTCTTTAGGGGGTCCAGATGAAGGAGTTACACCATTTCCTTGGTCTGCTGGTGTTTAATAAGTTATCTCTCTCTCTCTCTCTCTCTCTCTCTCTCTCTCTCTCTCTCTCTCTCTCTCTCTCTCTCTCTCTCTCTCTCTCTCTCTGTGTGTGATTGAGACAGGATTTCTCTGTGTAGCCCTGGCTTCACAGACCAGGCTGGCCTTGAACTCATAGATTCACCTGCCTCTACTCCCAAGTACTAGGATTAAAGGTGTGCACCATCCCACTCAGTGTTCAATAACTTCTTGGACCTGGTTTTCCTAACATGGCTTTAATATACACATGCGCCCCCAAACATCTCCGCTTACCCCGATAAATTTATATAGTGTCAATCTTTCTATTCATAGAAGCATCAGTCTGTGCCATGTGGGTGGTGGTGGGCTGACTGTACCATTCATGTCTCTACCAGGTACACAGTTATCTTCTATTCTCAAAATGGGTCCAGAAACTGCTCAGAGAGCAAAAGCTCTCTGGGCAAGGGACAGCCTGAAAAATCACATTACACAATATGGGATAACTTAGAGCAGGGCATAGCCCGATCTCAGCCAAGTGTTTTCCTCTGAAACACAGAATAAGGAGAGTCAGCCTGCGTTGTTAGGTAGAGCACTTCCTGAGCGCCACGAGAGGTAGACTTGGCGGTAGGCAAATGGCCCGATTTGAGAAAGCAAGACACCTGCAGCTGGTGTTGAAGAAGAAAATCTTTTCTCAACTTAGATTTTGTACCTAGGGGACTGCAAATTAAACTGAAAGCCGTCATATTCATGGTGGGGAAAACACATATGCTTTTATTATTTTTCCTCTCTGGTGCTGGGGATCAAACCGAGGGCCTTGCCCACATGAGAAAAGTACTTTGCTACTGAGCTATACACAGCCCTTGCTTCATTAATGCTTTATGTGCATGAGAATTCAGAAAATAAGTGGAACTCAAATCAGTTCTTAGATTCCAGGATGCACATATATATATGTATGTATATATATATGGGTAATAAATATTTTTGATATGTATATTAATACAGGAAAAGGAGTTGGGATTTCAAAGCATGTTATGTAGTAGGGAAGTCAGCAGGACATATATGGGAAATCAGTGGTGGACAAGACCTTGGTGAGTTCTGTTTATGCAATCTGGCCTTTGTGTCAGCTCTCCAACTCCAGTACTCCTCTGGTGTGTGAGTGAAGAGCCCACCTTCACACAGGAAAACCCGTGTGCTACTCTTCAGTTTCTCTGTTGAAAGTGTCTCAGAGACAGGGCCGCAGGCCAACCTGACGGAGGTGGTCCCTCTCTGGAGGCTTCCTCTTTGCAGGTATGTCAAGTTGACAGCTGAAGCTAACTACGGCAGAAGGGAAAGCAGGAATGCTTCCTGCATCTTTTGATTCTCCTTGTCCTTATTCAAAATAGTCTCTGTGCCAAAGGGGCAAGTTATAGGATGCTGTGCTCTGAATCCTTTCCCTAGGATGAGGGTCTAGGCTTGTGAATGTTGTGGCTGGCAAAACTCCAGTGCATTTGTCATAGGGTACCTGTGTACATTACAGGGTGAGAGTCAAGGTGACGCCCAGTCAGCCAAAGGAAGCTACGCTTATATTATGCACTAATTGAAGGACCCAGGGAAATTAAGTTTCAAGTGATTGTATTTATTTTTTTATTAAAAACCTCACGTTAATTGTATGGTATATTTTAGAGTCTAGTACTTAATGAAGCTGCTTAATGAAGAATTCAATTTTGGCTTTTAGAAAATATCTCTGTTAACCAGGCCCATGTAAAGAATAGCTATTTTTACCACTAGGCAATTACTAAGGAACCATTATCTACTTTATCCCAATTATGAGATGCATAACTTGGAAGAAATAAAGAGCTCAGTGGGGCTGAACTTGCTAACACAAATCTGTAAAGTGACAGCAAGTGTTGTGACTCTTCTGTCTAGAGCCTGGAGCTTGAGTTAGACCTCCCTGCCTCTTGAATTACCTTGCAAAATATAAATACACCACTACCACTCAGAAGAGCTTGGTCTATCAGATAACTTCCCTTGGTGATGGGTGGGGTATCTGGGGTGGCCTAGGGGTAAGAGGCCTAGAGCATGCTAGCTTTAGTGAGTGTGATGTTCTCAGTATCGACATACTAACTTTTCTCTCTAATGTGAATGCAGACCATTGTGGTCATGGTTGGCCTCATGGAAGGAATGGTTTTAGTGCAAGGAGCCTTCCAAGAAGCTCTGAAATCTCACCCAATGGCGATTCTGCAGTCTCCTGCCATGGTTGTTCTCTTAAAGACAGTCACTCCTTCACTGACATTCTCATCCATTGATGCAAACATCAGCACATGCTTGAGGGTCATCTGACCAGGTAGCCTGGTGGGATGGGGGATGGCTAGGACACAGAAGAAAGGGCCCAGCATGCACTGATGCTGCAGGACTGAATTCAACCCTAGGTCGGAGACCCTGTGACCTCTAGCTGAGTCATTAAGCCCCTTAGAGATGTGGTTTCCTTGGTTTTGCAATAGGAGATTTGCTTTGGTCTGAGTGCTTGATTCCCAGAATTCATGTGTTGGAAGTCATATGTCAATGGTATTTGGAGGTGGGATCTTGGGAAGGGATTCGATCATGGGTAGGTCTGCCATCTTGAGTAAGTTAAATCCATCCAAGGACTAATGAATTACAGTCAGTAGAGTTCTGCTATCAAACAATAATAGTGCGCCTGTTCTGTGACAGATAGTGACATACAATGGCTTGCAACACCATGGGACTCTGTAGAGACCCTTCAAGCAAGAAAGGCTTTACCACATTGAGTATGGTAGTACATATTTCTCATTTCAGCACTTGGGAAATGAAGGCATAATGGTCAAGAGTTCAAGGCTAGTCTGGTCTGCACAGTAAGACTTAGTCTCAGATACAAACACACACTCACACAGCAGGCAAATAAATAGTGAGAGACATCTCAAACAAACAAAAACAAGCAACTTCCTCAAACGCCACACAGAACCACAAAGCTGACACAGTGAGGACACAGGATCTCATCCACTGTAGACCCTTGACTTTTTTGACTTTGGATTCTAGACCTCCAGAATAGAAAGAAATAGATTTGACTTCTTCAGAGACTACCCAATCTCTGGTATGCTAACAACTGAAAGTGCAAGTCTTAGTTAGGGTTTCAGATGCTGTGAAAAGACACCATGATCACGGCAAGTCTTAGGGGGAAAACATTTAATTTGGGCAGCTTACAGTTTCAGAGGTTCAGCCTATCATTATCATGGCAGGGCATGGTGGCATGCGGGCAGACATGGTGCTGGAAAAGGGGTTGAGAGTTCCACATCTTGATCTTCAGGCAACAGGAAGTGAACTGAGTCTAAACTGAGCATAGCTTGAGCACAGGCGACCTCAAAGCCCACCCCTACAGTGACATTCTTCCTCTAACAAGGCCATACCTACTCCAACAAAGCCACACCTTCTAATAGTGCTACTCCCTATGAGCTTATGGGGGACAATTGCATTCAAACTACCACAATGGAATAAGACAAAGCTGACACTGGCTTGGCTTTTATCTCTAGCTGTGTCTCTACAGCTACAGCTCTACCTAAATCTCTGTGTCACACAAACCGCAGATTTAAAAAGAGCAATGCATATAAAGTTTGGAGCTTTGGAAGCTGATGCTGAGACAGAGCATGGGGAGACAGGTGGAAGGCATTTATTAGGGAGCATCTCCTGTGAACAGAAAAAGGAGGCAGAGAGACAGGGAAGAGGGATGAGTTGAACTCAGTGCAGAAGAACCTGCATGGAGTCTTCATGTCTGATATGTCCCAGGAAGGAAGAGATGAAACCCTTGTATTCCTGCTGCTCAGCCACAAGATGTGGTCACTCTGGGAAGGGCCAGGTCTTGAGGGAAGCAGATCCTGAGAGAGAGAGAGAGAGAGAGAGAGAGAGAGAGAGAGAGAGAGAGAGAGAGACAGACAGACAGACAGACAGACACACACAGGCAAGTCCTCCCCTAGGGATGATCTCCATGACTCATTCTCGTGTCTCTTTCACAGGCTCTCACAGGTATGTATCCTCTTTGTCATGAACTGATTTCCATGAAAATCTTTTTTCTAACTCCTTTCTCTTTTCCACCCATCTTCTCTTACACTGCTTTTTCAAGTCAGTCTTCCCCAAAGTCCTCCTGGGCAGCCCAGAGAGCTTGTCTCCACTCAGCAGGGGCCTGGGGTTGGTTGCATGTTTCAGGGCCTCTCTTTAGAGGTCCCATCAGGAAGCATCATTACACATTACCCACAACTCCCCAGAAAGACAGAAACAGCTAGGCTTTATTCTGCAGAATAAAATGGTGCAGATGCTGGTGTGTGCACTGTCAGCCCATGCCTGCCAGCTGGTACCAACAATAAGAGAGAGGGTGTTGGATGCTTTGCAAACAGATTTCCAAGAAAAGACCAGGGGCAGTCCCAAAAGCCATTTGGACTCATTTCTTCTTCCTTTGTTACATTTCTGAGAGATAGAGGCTGACAGATTTTAAGTGAGGACAGGGATTTAATAATGTTCGGAGGGCTGGTGTCAGGAGCGCCAGTGTACAAATCGCTGAATTTATAAAACACAGTAGCTTTTAACATGCCCAGACATTTAGAAACTACTCTTAGAGAAAAGTTGAGGGCTAGAGTTGAAGCTCGGTGTTAGGCTGCTTGCTCAGCATGCACAAGGTCCTGGCTTTGAGCCCCGGTACCATCCAAAAAGAGATGAAGGTGGGCAAGCATGGGGGACCCGACAATGGACAGGTGTG